GGGGGGGGGGGGGGGGGGGTTTTTTTGGGGGGGGGGGGGGGGGGGTGACAACGTGGTTGGAGGACGGGCACGCTCTCTTAGCCCGTACGCAACGATTCGCTATTGCACTCGTGATCTCATTCCTGGTAAGGCGCGTACGCACGCAACAATTCTTTTAAGGGGAAAAGATAAAGATAAAAAAAGCGCCTTGAGCAAGTGTTCGAGCTACCGCTACACTACCGCCCACGAACCACTTGTTTTTCGAGGCGCCGCGTCAGTACAACAAACACCCCAGGTACACATGCCAAAAAACAGCAGCCGCGCGCGCCCCACAACCATCCCGGCAAACAAAAACAAAAAAGAAGTCAAACCCATAGCCATACGCTTTTTTTTTCTCACGCTAGGAACTCCTCATAGTGGGCGTCGGTACCATCGGATGCGCATTCCACGGTTGCGCTAGAAGTAGAACCGGGGGCACCCCCGTCCCCGCTCCCCCCCCCGCCCCCGCCAGGCTGAGCACGCGACCCCTGTGGCAGTGCCAGCAGCAGCAGGAGCAGTGCCGCCGAAGCGGCCGAGGCAACGCCGCCAGAGCTCAAAGTTGTGGAAACACGTGCCATCGCTTTTGTTTGTTTCACAAGGTGGCTTTTGCTGCAGGCCGAGTCAGCGTTCGTTCGGGAGAGAGAGAGAGAGAGAAAAAAAAAAGGGAGGTCGGGAGGGCAACTGATTAGATTAAATTATTCGTGATCAGGATGAACGTCTTAGCAGTCAGGGGACCGGATTTCGGAGGGCCCTTGGGGAACCCTAGGATAAACCGCCGTGTCACTACGTACAGCACTCGATATGCTGGGTAATACCAACAGCAGCAGCAGCAGGGGGGGAATTGTGTGCGATTGCCACAGTACCTAGCATAGACCGCGCTACCCGGCTGACCAGTAAAAGTACGTCGGTCTCAGTGCGAATCAAAACACAACCTGCTTCTACAAAGTAAGGCCATGAGTGCGCGTGTACGTGTCTCTTTACCAATGGCATCGACCACAGGAACCGATGGAAAACACGTACGCCAGTGTCAGTCCGGCCGATAACGGCAAAGCGCGTCTCAAGACGCATTGTGGTAAGGTCCATGCACAACAAATTGTCCACAAACTGCATTTCACGTTTTGCGTAGCGACTAAAAAAAAATGAACTAACGTGAAACACAACGGTGTTCGCTCATAGTCGCCTCGTCGAGCTACGTCGATCTCACGGAGAAAGACGTTTTCTCCGAAAACAGAAAAAAAAAATGGTTACGGGGATTGAAGAGAGGAACCATTAGACGCGCTCTACTAGCTTATCGAAAACCGCAGTTTTGTGTGTCGGGGCACTGGGGTCCGAATCGTTCTTGAAATCATTCTTCTTTTGGCCTTCTATCGCACCCCGGTGTATATAACATCGATGGGTGCCACTACGCGGACACCGGTGCGGAAATCCAATAAAATCATTTCGTTCCAGATTTCCAACGCGCACCCCCGGTGCGATGGCACCGATGGGTGCGACACGCCAAGAACCACAACAGCGGCAATTTCAACGCGCACACCTCGTCGCCTCGACGGAACCTATACACAAACATACAAATATTTTTTAACGTATGTACCCGAAAGGAATGGCGCCCGCACAGCTGTTCGTTACACGCACTTCAAAAAATTGCATGGAGGGCAACGGTACCTTGCGGAAGCACACAAAATTTTGGCCGAAGCAGGTTTTATACGGTTGTTACCGCACATGTACCGGGTGCGATAACAACGATTCGGTGCGGTACATATCGTCTAGTAGGTGACCTCGCAGCCTACTAAGGGCCAAGTCACGGGTTCGAGTCCCGGCAAAGGGAGTTCTTTTTCTCACTAAATAAATCCTGGTCGTAGTTGGAAGCGACGCGCTGCAAAGCTCGTTTTAAAATCGAGGGACTTCATCAGTCACGAGGGAAGGGATTGCTGTATCCTTCTCGCGATAAAAATATCTCAGGCAGGAACCGCAGGAGGGGGTCCAACCCCCCCTCCTATGTGACCCCGGTTGGGTCGTCTAGCTAGTAGAAGTGGAGGATAGGGGCCAGAGGGGCAGACGACAGAGTCCAATGATGGGAGGAAAAAAAAAAAATGCTGTGGCAAGTAAATCATGCCGTTCTTGGGCCTCTTTTTGCGCACTCCGGTGCCATAACACGGATGGGTGCCATGACACGCACAACTACGGGCACTACGGCACGGGCAGTACTGTATGTATCGGGCCGGAGTTTGATTTTTCAGAACAAAAGCAACTAACTTATTTTAGGAAAATAGCAGCGTTCCTGGGAGCGGTCCTGGATGCCAAAAGTCAACGAATGGATTGGATGTGAATCGATTGGTGTTTGTTGGGGATGTGTTCGCAGAAATGGCCGATGGCATCTCGATGAAGGCAGACTTTATGTATGAACCTTGACCTGATGCCGATGTTGTGTATGCTGTGCCTGCTTTGTGTGTGTCCTGTCCTGCACGATACATACATGTGCTTGCACATTTTTTTGGTACCGATTAAGCCTAAATATTCTGAAAATTGCGATCGCACCCGGTTCGTCGGTGCCACCCCTCGGATTCTTACCGTACGTGGTGGCATGCTTACCGTACGTGGTGGCATGCATCTAAAACCGGTAAGCCGGCGGTTGACCAATGATAAAAACATGGCAGTATTACGACAAACAAATGGACAAACACGCAAATATTTTCATTGGGTGTGGAAAGAAAGGTAGGTGTGGTGACGGGGCGTCCTGATGCTGAGGTATGCGGATTTTTCACACTGCTGAACATATGCGTGAACACACCAAGTACCATCGCATAAAGAAGCCGAAATCAAACCATGTAGCCAGCGCGAAACTACAGAGCGCTGAACTACACAGCCGCAGCGTAGTATTCTAGGTTGATATGGGCTTTAAAAAAAGGTACATCTAGACGAGTCCAGAGCCGAAATCGACCACAATGCAGACTATACGCGCTGCTGTAGACTGAACCATGGCGCACAGCTGGTCAAGAACGAAAGGGCGCCGGAAACTCTGTAGATGTACGTATGTATGCTGTAGGTCATATTGACAACATTATACTACATGAAGGGTTCAGCAGCAGCAGCAGCAGCAGCAGCAGCTGCAGCGGCAGCGCATACAGCATTAGCGCGAAGATCGGGCGTGTCACGCTCTGTATGTTGCCAAACACAGCGAGCGGCCAACAATGGCCTTTTTACACTTGGGAGAGGTTAGTCCTCCTTGCCGAAAGCCGACATTGCTTTGCCTCGATGGCCAGGAAGGTCTCGAGTTGGATCCGCCTCCGCCTGGTTCTTTGAAGGGCGCTGTCGAACACCGACTACCCGCATTAGAAAATGGAACTCTGGTGTGCACGTCTCTGCTGCTGGTGCAACCGCACAACAAATGCAACTCTCCGTTGTTGCAAACAAGCAGAGACTTGGTACGCCGGAAAAGCTTACGTAAATGGTGCTTCCCCGTAGAGGCTGTTGTGTGTTACCATCCCTACTGAACTAAACGTGGGTGTCCCTTCGATCGCCGGCCTATCTCTCAAGCGGGGGGTCTTTTTTTACAGTGTGCGATACACAGTGTACATCAACCACCCAACTTCTACGGTTGTACGCATAACACCTACAGAGGTTCATCGTCGGCGTGATGTCCACGGTTCTATCTACATAGTGGGCGGACAACGACCATAGAAGTCGAGACAAAGAGGGATAAGGCGTTTGTGTGGTGTTGTTGTGGCGATCCATCAACCTTCAAAGAACCTCATAATATAGTCTACAGCAGAGCACGGCATGTCTTTCCGTCTTCTCCCGCCGTACAGCAGTATAGGTCAACCGTGACGCGTGGTCCGGACAGCAGCAGAAGCAGCAGTGGACGAGAAAAACCATGCACTTCTTCTACTGCTGCTGCTGCTGCTGCTGCTGCTGCTGCTGCTGTGTTTGTTCTCTTCTTCCGTGGTGTTGATCCTTCATCTACACGCACCCCGATTGTGGAAGCGCAACACTCACCCATAACAAAGGACGCCGTTGAGTCAGACAAGTACGGTGATTTTACTTCAGGTTGGGATGGGATGCTTGCTCGGACCGTCCACACAACGGGAGGGGAAAAAAAAACCTTAGCGCGAGTCGCGACGGCGAGGAGCCCGCTCTGCCGCGCGGACGCTCACCTTGCCTTGGAGATGAAGCCGGAGTCTCGTGGATAGGCGTGACCAGTGATCTGGGGTAAATACTCAACGCATTTAGTACTTGGGGCGGATGTGGGGGGATGGAACGACGGCGGGAGATTTACCCAGGTGGAAGTTCTACGGAGATAAATGAGCCGAACCTTTTTTTTGTTTTTGTTCTTCACTTCAAATCAGCGCTCACAGAACCTGCATGGGTTTCAACCTGAGCTCGGATCACGGACCACCCGAGGGAGCTAAAACCTGCGGTTGGCACTCCTCCCACGCAAGCAAAGCACAAAAGCACACCGCCAACCGACTACGAGGGCTTCGCCTGGTGTCATACTCGCTGGGCTGTGTAAAACCGCCATAAAGAAGGCCCTGCGAAGACAAAGAAGGCGTTGCCACCCGTGGCGAGTGGACAATAGCAGGAAGCTGGGTCGCCGCTCTGGGGCTCCTCTCCTGCTAGACATGGTTCGTCCAGCCACTACTCCCAAGAAATTCGGTATGCCCTCCAATGCTGCCTTCGCGACCATCTTTCAATGCTTCCGGCATTGTTCGAAATGCACCCGCCGTAGGTATCACTGAATCTAGTGAATGTAGGCTGCTACTACTGCTGTAGAAGTGACCTGTGGTACTCTCGCTGCTTGCTGTTCGCAAGAAGACAGCAGCGTCCAAGTTGCCAAGTGTGTACAGCGGCACCAAACAAACCTGTACTGTGGCTTGACGACGGGTCCCACGATAGCCCTGCAACGCCGCAATGTACTCGTGCATGTCCTGTATCGATTGGAGTTTCGTGGGGAGAGATCCAGGCAGTGGGGTAAGTGAGGGAGGTTCATCCTCCCAACTGCTGTAGGTCTCAACTGCTGGTGGGGTATTTGGTATTATTTTACATCGAAATTGACGCCACTGGTGGTGCTGGTACTTATTAGACACGCCGAATATTATTGAGTGTGGATTGTACAGCCCCAAAGTCGAACATTTCCAAAAACGAGACGCAATCAATGCTGGACGTGCTGGCTAGATTCCGCCAGGTCTTGCAACTCGACCTTGTTAGCGCCCGCAATTAGAGTACCCTTTTGGGTCTACAGGCGTCCTGACAGATCATTGATAATTTGCAAATAAATGCTGGTGTGGTGGCATGCCACGGAGTGTCGCACTGTATCCCTCCACGCCAGGTGTTGGCAAGTCCATACGTAGATAGGTGTGTCTTTATTATTAGCATCGACCGCGCTAACCGGTGACCAATGAAAATGCGTTATGTAGTGCCAGCGGGTAAAATCAAGGTCCCTGGAACGGCCAAAATTCGAAAAATGCACAAGGCACTAAATGCGAGTGCCACATTGAATCTCTCCGCATATCCTTGTCCTTATTACACAGAGACTCGCATCCATAGCTCCCAATACATGCCCTCGCCACCAACACGGGGAAAGCACGCTTTGTACAGCACCACCACATTCCCCGGCATGCAGGGTACACTGCGCACAGCACCTGCGAGGGTGTGCCCACTATACTGTAGGTTCGAACAGGATGCCTCACGCGAAAAGTGATGACGACACGAGTACACACGTTATGGGGGACATTGTAGCAAGGATGGGCGAAGATCGTGCCCCTCCCTATGGTACATCCAGCAACCCACAACCACACCACTCGAGAAAAACTGGAAATTTCGAACGAACGTTCTCCGGTCTCCGCACAACGTTCCTGACAGCAGTCTCGCGGGAAGCTACTGCTGTACTTGTATGATAGGTACACACATACACACGCCTGCCATCGACAACAAGGAAACGTTTCGAGATCACCCTGTGTGATACTATGGTCTCCGCCACCGATCGACGACACCGCACTACCGACGAAGACGACGTACGCGGGCGAGTACACACGGTGTCCGATATTGTGGCAAATATGGTGCCATATGCATACAGTAAAATTGACTACACGTAACATGTTGTGGACCTCGGTGGAGTCTTGGCGGATATGAGTTCGTTGTTGTGTGACTGGGTTGAGTCTTTGGCCGATATGTGAGTACCGTGCCCACCATGTATAGCGCCATGCCATGATCCCAGGAGCGCCCTCACTGCATAACGCGTCGGAGAGAACGGAAGTCCAGGAGGTATACACTGGAGGAGGTCTGTCAGCAGTAGTTGCGGTCAGGACATGCAAATCCATATGGTCTGAGCAGCAGCAGTTGTACAGCAATTGCTTGCACAGCGCGATCAGACCAATGGTACGAAGGTCGTTGTGCCGGACATTAAGCCACATGTTGTACAGGTTCGAACTTTGAACTACCACGGAACCATTCACTGCCTTCCACGTACAGTAGGTGGCCCGGTATAGTGGCATATAGGGGCAAGACCAAATGATGCCACTATTCGGGGCAGTGCCACTATTCGATATAGTGGCACTATTGCCACTATGGCAGTGTCAATAGTGGCATTATTGCCACTATATCGAATGAGAAGCTGCAAAGTTCACGGCATCGACAGCGGTTCATTGTATCTACCCTCACATGCGCTGTGGCATGCGGGTAAAGTCGTGTACTGCTGCACTCCTCGTGGTTGAGCACTTGTGTGCAGCAGTATCCGCATGAAACACATGAAATGACACTTGGTTATCCAAGGGTCGCCGGGCCTTCTGCGGTCAAAACCTATTTTTCATTTTTCAGTGCAGGCAGACCACCGAAACCACGCCCAAACGTACTACTGTAGGAGGCACATCATATATGTTTTGTCCGGCGGGCTATGTAACATGGGGTTCAACACAATTCGAAGAAATGGCAACTGAAGCAACAAAGCTTGTAGAGCGAAACGCTCTCCACCCCGGCGCATCAACCCAACCGCCACGATGCTCTGCAACTACCTATGGGAGAACTTCTTCTTTTTCGCGGCGGCGCCATCTCCGACAAGTCCCGAGTTGGGGGAGGCACGCTTAGGCTTAGATTCGAAAGAGTTGGGTGTCTTTTGCTTCTTGGCGATGCACGGGTTGCAGACGCGGTGTATTTCTCTGCCGCCCTCCTCCTCTGGTTCACCACATATACCATGAAGCCGGCCACCGCAGCCGAGGCGACATGTATGCCCGTCTTTCTCTCCCAGTGGTCGGTGTGGGAGTTTACACAGTTCTAGGTCCGCGCAGGCTGGCATGATGATACGTGTGGCGCCCACTGCTGAGGGTGGTGTGGGCAGGTGTGGTCCAGCAGTAGTGGGGGCCCGCTGTTTGGAGTTGCCACTATTGGGTGTGTGAGATGGCCAATATGCCACTATTGAGGGCCCCGTCCTCAATAGTGAGAAAGTGCCACTATATCGGGTTGAGATTTTGCCGAGATTTTTATGCCACTGTATCGGGCATTTCACTATTCAGGTTGCCACTATAAAGGGCCAGTTTCGTCACGTGGCAAGGAGTAGCCGCGGAGAGGGTCCATTTCCCCGTGCGCATGTGTTTTAGCGTCACCGTTCACCGTGCCCAAGGACCAACGGTTGACCGTACTTGCTTGGACCTCACGGTGGATCCTTTCGCGCACGGTCATTTGTACGTCGGTCTTTCCCGAGTGCGTAGGTCAGATGGCATGATTATTTTGGGTGTACATACGCCACGGTGAACAACCAACGTTGTTTTCAACTCGCTGCTACCTGTACAAGTATCCACCTTCTGCTTTCTTTCCGTTTCCGTCCACAACGTCTGCTTCCCATTGGTAATCTAAAGTAGGTTTTTTCATGTTTTGGTCTCTACATCACGCGTGCGCATCTTCGTTGCCTGGCTGCTTTCCTGTTATTTCCGTTTCCCCCGTGGAGCGCGTCACCTGCTTCCACCCTTCTTCATTTCTGTGAGTGTGACAGGAACGGGAGCTTAATGCATAGGGCACGACCTGACACCCTCGATTGTCAACGACGTGGGCTTGGGAGCAACGTGACCCGCTCGCTGATTCCCCACACCTCCCGCCCGTCCGTTTTTTCTGTCGGGAAACGTTTGAATGCATTTGTCACGCGCGTCACAGGCGAAGGCTCCACACAATGGTGCGGTGGGCGGTGACAGACACGGGATGCCCGAACCACGTTAGCTGGGACATCAACCCCAACTTTGCCGGGGTGAGTTGGACCGCCTACGCAGGATTTAAGAGTATCTAGAAAAAGAACAGGGAGGGGGACGCAGATCCTATCACTAACCCTAACCCTAACCCCAAAGCACGGATTGAATACTTTATCCCAAATGTTTGCTTCATCATTTTTTTCTGCGTAGACTACTGGGGTGAGTCGGGGCGAAATCGGATCAAGACACCAAGCAAAGCCAAACACCCCATACTGCACTATTTTCGAGCTCCGCATTGACCGCGTCATTGTTTCACTTCAACAACAGGTATCCGATAGAAACGCCTCCATCCTGGCCTACCCGATGATGTCCGCGGACAATGGGACGAAGGACCTGAGCTCTGCCTCGGGCACGATCTGCATGATGCGCAATGGGGTCTCCCATGTACAGGTGGGCTGTTTGGCGAACTCAGCCTGTACAAAAATAGTAAAAGCACCTATGGCATTGCTACTCCTACACCTGAACAAAAAAGCCACGACGCTATGGTGCGGACCCGGGCGCATTAACATGCATTATGAATTTCTGCAGACACTATGGGGGGAACCTATAGTGAAGCACCATGGTGCTCGACATGATGGTCAACGAGAGATTTATTGTACAACTAACGCGTGGATTGCGCTTCCCATGAGATTTACATGTTCTCATCTTGCTGCGTACCTCATGGTGGAGAGGCGGTGTTCCCATGAAGTACCATGAGGTTGCCCACGACGTGACCCGGCAACGTGAATCCGCCCCCACCCCTTAACGCAGGATAAACTTTCCGTCCTCCTCGCTTCCGGGTTATGCTTCCAGTCAATCGACGCGCTTGGTTTTACCCCCACACCCTTCTGTCGTTTTTTCTGCGACCATGATGACGGATGGACACCACCCAGAAACATCGTCCTTGTTCTTCGTGGCCTCGTTCCCCCCGCTGTTCTTCGTCTGCCTTGCTTTTTCTGTTTTTGGTGTTCCGTCCTTTTTTTCCTGTGACGATGATGATGGTGATGATGGATGGACACCAAAAACACCGGTCGTTGTTCGTCTGCTGTCGTGTTCCTGTTCCTTTCTTTCGTATTTTTTTTCATGTATAACGATGATGAAACATGTGAAGCTTGTCGGCGGTTGACCCCGGAGAGGACTACTTTGACACGGCCTTCTACCTGGAAGCGGACAGCTTCGACCCTTGTGGGGGGCACGCGACGCCCAACGGGTTCTACCACTACCACGGCACGGCGGTTGCCTGCAGGAACAGGCGGAGGCGGTCAAGGGCGAGCACTCGCCGCTGCTGGGCTGGTCATACGTGAGTTTTGTTTGTTGTTTTTTTTTCGAATCGAACGAAACGAACGGTAGATTGCAGCGAGCGGTGATTTTGGTGGCCGCGTCACCCGCCCACACCGGTGAGGGTTGCGCAATGGTGATCGTGCGTATGTGCTGTTGAGCGGTGGGTCAAGGCGTTGCTTGCTTCTGTGAGGGTTACAAGCTGATCGGAGTCAGCGCGCGACTAAAGGCTATTTTTAGTTGATGGCACCAGGGATGTACGCTGCAGCAAGAAGAGCTTTCATGTGTCATGGCTGGCGGTCAGATGCGTGAAGTTGAGGACCATCCGCGCGCCGGCTGGAACCTGTGGCGTGCTTTGCGTGCAGCGCACCGTGCGTTTCTTCTTCCAGCTCTTTGATGCCGCATCCCCCGACAAGCTTATTTCTCCGCCTGTTGCTTCGTAGGTTCTCGTGTTGGCAAGGCCGTTGCACGGGAATCGATGCGTTTTTTTATGAAAGTGCAAACAAGCGACGGTGCACTTGCTGCTCAACGTTGGCGTGCACCACCGTTTTTTGGCTTATCACAAGTTTTGTTTGACGTCGGAGAGCGAGCTCGAAACGAGGGAAAGAAACGTTCCTTAGCGCCCAACACACAAAGCAAATTGCCAGTCTTGTATGTACCGTTCTCCCCAGTTTGTTGATTGCGCGTGACCTTCGCGAGGGAGGGGGTACGCAGACCCTATCCCCAACCATAACCCAACGCCCCCGATCGCATTCTTTATCCAATATGTTGACTTGGTAGACAAACCCTGAGAAGGTTTCTGGTATCTTGCGACACACGTCTTCCCCAACCTTGTGTTGGACATCGAGAGACAGACGCGAACCCGGAAGGAGCAGCAAAAGAACGTTGTATTGTATGAGCACCCGGCAGAGAATCTGTCCGTATTGTACCGTTCTCCCGGAATCGTTCCTTGCGAAATAGCCTCCCACCGTGACGGTGACTGTCGCATGCGACAACCCTCATCGAGGAGCTCCTTCGCCTGCATTCAGCGAGTTACAGCCGTCGAAGGGCTGCCACGGGAACGTCGGCTCTCGAGGCCGAACCCACATGGCTTCTCCGTCCTCCACCGACCAAATCCAACCAGCCCCCTTCCGTTTCCGCGTAACGTCATTCCAGGACGGGTTTCCGATCTACGAGCAGTTGGGCCCTGACGGAATAGAGATGGAAGGTAGGTCGTGGGTGTTGTTGTTGTCGTGTTGGGTGCTGCCGACATGTTCGCCTGCTTCGAGATTTGTCTCTCAAGAGCCGGCCTTCACTACATTACTCTCTCAGCGAATCTGCGTGTTTTTCACTTTTTTTTCCTGTCGTGTAGAATATCTCGCCGCGATGCCTAAGATGGCGGCGATCATGAACATGTGCGGCATGCCGTCTAGACCCAACGTGATTGTATGTGGCGTCTGCGTAAGGAACAACCAGACACACACCTAACCGTTTCCCTGGATAGTTGCCTTGGAATGCACGGGGCACCTCTCGTATCGTTCGCCGACTGATCTGCTTCGACTGTGCTGCACTCGAGTACTACTATGCGCACCTGCTTCATAATTTGACGGTCACAGAAGAGTGGCCGGCCGAAGACAGACGCTGGTCTAATAGGCGGGTGGGTGCGCCACTGCTAAATAAAGTCGACCACCCTCGGTCGTGATGGCGGTGCATCTACTGTACGCGTATCACAGCCAGCCGCACCATCGAAAGCCACGAGTCGCCTGACCTACTGCGGCTGCGGCTGCGGCTGCGTTGATGACGGTGGTGTGACAGATGTGCGGAGCCGAAGGGGCGGACGACACGGTCTGCCTCGACGTGTGCTCCGGCTACGAGGCCTTCATCGACACGGATGAGTACGCCTACCGCTACTACACGGTATGGTTTGCCGGAAGGAGAAAATGCAAAAAGTCGAAACTGCCGGGCATGATCATGTACATGTTGTGCTCGTTGCAGACATGACGATGAAAATGGTTTTGGAGTAAGCAGGAAGGTTTCCCGGTGACGGGGGCGGCGGGGTGTTTGTTCCCTCCTGGGCCCTCGCCGGCCAAGACTCGAGGGGTCTAGAATCCAAAGCTCGTGGTGCATGGGGTTGCGGGACAGAGAGTAGGGCAACACGCCGCAGCACTGAAACCGCAACCCATTTGCCAGCCACAAACCATCCCCAAGGAAACAAATACCGCATACGACACAAGATAACACGTCCCCTGGACCGATGTTCAAAGCTCGATTTCTCAACAGCAGAAAGAGTCACGGCGCCGAAAATTGGGGTGTTGAAGCCGTCTTGTCGAGAGATTTCCGAAAATGTATAGTTTCGTCTATATTCTACATCCTATAAAGTGTCACCGGTGTATGTTTTCTGAGGTCTTTAGGCGCGCGAGTGAACCCCTTCGTTTGGTCAACGAAAAAAACGGGGTTAAACAATAGGGTGTACAGGCAGGCGTGTGAGCAGCGCCCGCGACGCTGACTCGTTGGGCATGGCGCCCCTGGCCTAGCCTGAAGTGGTCCCGCTGTGTTTCTGTCTTGTGTAGTTGTAGTCGTAGTGTGCTCCTGCGCGTGGCTCTCTGAGCTGTTGTTTGGCCCTTCGTTCAACGTCTTGTCGCGATGCTACTCGGTCTTGCTCCTCCTGATTCTTACCCGGCAGGTTACATCGCAGGCACAAAATGCTCTTTTTCTCATTAAAGCAACCAGCCACTCGTTTCCCGAAAAACGCGGATTTTTTTTTTGTTCCGATGTTTTCCCCCCCTTTTCTCCGTTTGTTCGGTGTTCGGTGTTCGATCCTCACATGCGTGGCCGTCCAGTCATGCGGGTTCGACGAGTCGTTCTTCCCGTCACCCTCAACTGCTACCGTTGGCTGCTGCCCATCTGGGATGACGTACGTCGCTAACTGGTAGTGTTGCTATCGTTGTCGGAGTCGGTGCTTTGGTTTTGAGAGTATGCTTCACGCCATCCGTACCTTGATCCACTCAGGCAAGATGGAGAACCACGCGGGGACCTTGTCTTCCCCGCCGAGTCCCCCAGCTCTGCTTCTATGCGCGTTTGGTTTCATCGAAACGAACCTTGACGTGGCCGGTGGTGTTACAGCGAATGAACACAGCCTTTGTTGCAATGCGGCGTCCAGGTGGCAGGATGGAGGTAGGTATGGCGAGGGATATAGTGGGCAGCCACGTGTCAACGCCGGTTTTCACGCTCCAGCTTGCAACACCCGCGCGTGCGCCCCGCCCTCTCCCCCGGTCTTTGGCACTCACAACTTTCGTGCCCAGGCTTGAGTACGCCAAACGATAATGCGTAGCACCGTAGCAACGCTCTAACCATCCCCTAGCACCCCGTACGATATCAAAACAGGTGTCACGACCACTTGCCCTTCTAACGCACGGGGTTGAACGAGAAAGTTGTAGCTATTTTAGCGGCAAAAACAGGATAAAAGATGCCGAAAGCAAGAAAGAAAGTAGTTTTATCGACAACGGCGACGTCACCCAAAAAACAAAACGACAAACTCACGAGGAGCAACCAACATATTCGGTGACCCCCGCTGCTGCTAACAACTCCCCCCTCCCCCCGCACCATCGATCTATCGATCCCCCAGCGACCGCTACAACCACAACAGGTGCAGCGAGAAGGTCGACGCCTGCGGAGATGACCCGGTGGCCGGCTACACCGCGGACCTCGTCCCCGCCGAGACCGCTTCGCTGGACGAGATGTACGACGCCCTGCTGATCGAAGGGCTCGACACCGACATCATCGGCAGCAACTTCACGGTCAACTGCACGCTGTACCTCGGTGAGGGAAGGAACAATGCTGCTGCTGCGTGATCGGTCCGTGCGTCATCATCAGACCCGACGCCTCTTGAACAGAAAACACATACAAAAACCTTGTCCGATCACCAGCAGCCTCTTCTTGAAACCCTTGTCCGCTCGCCAGTCTCGCGGCATGTTGCTGCTGCATTGCACCAAGAAGACGGAAATTCACTTCATTCAGGCTGTGGACCAGCTGTTGCAACCCTTTTCGTCGTCAGTACAATATAGACCTCAGTTATTTCCATATTTCGTCCGTAGACCGAGCACGGGAGTTCCATTCTCGCCTGTCGGTGCGGTACGAAAGAGGAGGCGTCTGATAGCGAAGACGTTGGGTCGGCCGACGGGTGCTTCTACTTTCAATGAAGGTGTTTCGAGCAACACCAACCTTGGACGACAAGCATAGAAAAACACGTACGCTATTTTTCGGAGGTAGCGGCACATTTCTTTGTCTACGGCAAACTATTCTGGGGCTCGCTGAATGGGAATACGAACTTCGGCCGCCTACTGCTGCGTGCACCTGGCACTCGCATCCCGTCGACTAGGGGCATCGAAAAGAACAGCGTGTAAAATATGTTGGGGGCGGGAAAAAAGTGACCTTGTCGAGGTGTGTTCCGGCCTGTCGCCGCCAGAAACAGAGTACGTACGTGAGAGCGCCAAGCACAACAAGGCCCCCGAGAAAGAGCTGTAATAGCCCTCATCCTTTGGCAAAGTAGGAAGAAACGGTTAGCCATCGGCGATCGGTCCTGCGGGAACAATGCCTCGTCCTCTCGAGGACGGCCGTGGCCAATGGCCTGCAACCGCTAAGGCACGCAAAACATAGCAGTACGCCCCCCCCCCCCCCCCCCCCCCCC